GGAAACCTCAGCTTACCCAGTAAACATGTTAAAAGTAAAACTAAGTGCTAGAAACAATAGGAGCAGAGATCCTACTTCCCAGGATAGCTCAGGAACTTCTGAAAAAGGGAAATAGTGCCTTGCAGAGAGATACAGGGGTCCCTCTGGGCAGATGAGTTTGAAACGCCACCTCCTTTCTCATTCATCCAGCCAGCTAGAATGGATACTGTTGTCCTCAAAGGAAGCAACCTCCAATCAATGCTGCCAGAGTATTGGGGGCGGGGGGGGGGGTGCGGGGAATAGTTCCCACTGTGGGAGATTGCTGGCGGCCCTGATGGTGCTCTCCAATGCCCTTAGGTTTCAGAGTAAGTGCTTGGGAGCTGCTGCAGACAAGGGGCCTGTGTCCTACGAGGTGAAGTCTTTGATGCTCATGGCACAATCCTGCTCCCAAATCCATGGCAGGATACCTGCCCCTAGGTGCCATATTGGGCATCCTGCAGGAGAGGAGGGCATCTGAATATAGACTTAAGCACAAAATAGTGACACAGTCACTATTTTTGTCATCTTGCACTGAGAGAGACCTTACTGTTTACTAACACTTTGGTTTTTTGCCTGTAAATCCAAACTGCAGTCAGCATTTTACCGGCAATAAAGGGAGATCTCAGAGAAGTTGCTTTACCAAGAATAACTGACAAGGAACCTAGATAAAAATGAGGCCTGAAAGGTAGTCATTTGGACAGGGTTCTAAAAATTTCTATATTGGCTAATCAAAGAAATTCAGAAAGACTTTAAGGCTGTTGCTATAAGCTACATACATAATTCTGAATTTTCTAGCAGTGATAAAAGGAAGCAGATAAGATTAAATTTAATACTTAACCCAACAAAGTAAAATATAAATAGTTTCCTATATGGGAAATGTGTAACAATTTTAATAAAATACTATCACTTCTTTCAGTTTAAGTCTTCCATTTCAATCTGTATTTTAGATGTAAGGCCAATCTCAGCTTGGATGCTAAATTTTCATTGGAAATACTTCATCTTTCAGTTTCACACAGTTTACCATTGGAAAAGTAGATTTGTATCCTCAAGTTGGTAATATCGTATTTGAAAGGTTTCCAGTAACTGAGTTGAAGGTCAGTTTTAAATTGAATTTAAATTATTGAGGAATAAAAATTTTAAATAACTTTCTTAGTCACCTGAGCCAGTTAGGTCCAGATAGATGACTCCTGTATTGGAAAGTCCAGCCTAAGCATAAGCCTTCTCAGGAACTTGCAGTCTAGTAGACCTAGCATTTAATTAGGCCTCTAATTAGGCATATTGCAGCCTTGGTAACGTGTTAAAATTTGGTCTTTCCCATGCTTGCCTGTCATCATTGCTCATCCCTTTTAGCAGCCTCACCCTAACCTAACTCCACCTAAACCTGCTCTAGTTCTCATTCCCACAGCTGCCTGCCTCTTCTTCCTTGGGACAGCCCAAGGAGGTGGAGCTTTGGAGAACTGGCTTTGTAATGTTAGGAAATGAACGGAGACCAAGCTAGGAAGAAGAGTGGGTACAGGAGAGGTTTGACTGTGGCGTTCATGTGGAATGCCCACCCGCTTCCCTTTCCTCCAGAGCATCTTAATTTACAGGTGATTTGGCCATCAGAAAGCCCTCCTAATCATGTGATAGTGGCTTATGCCTATAATCCTAGCTCCTCAGGAGGCTAAGATCTGAGAATTGCATTTGACGTCAGCGTCAGCAGACAAATCTGAGAGACTCTTTTATCTCCAATTAAACAGCCCCCCTCAAACCCAAAACAGCCTTTGGACCTGGAGGCATGGCTCAAGTAGTAGAGCTCCAGGCATGAGTGAAAAAGCCCTGCTTGCTTTTTTTTTTTTTTTTTTTTTTTTACAATCTTATTATGTAGCTCATGTTGGCCTTGAGCAAACCATCTTCCTGCCTCAGCCTCCCGAATTCTGGGGTTACAGGCATGTACCATTATGTACGATTGTTACTCCTGCTCTTAAAAGCAAGTTCATTTTAAAGATTTATATGTAGAGGGAATTAAAAAAAAAAAAACCAAACTCAGAAGCAGAGAGAACAGTAAGAGTAGAAGGCCAGGGAGGAGAATTGGGGGATGTCAGGGCAGAGATACAAAATCTCTGAGGAGGAACGAATTCAAGAGATCTATTGTGTAACCTTAGTGACCACAGTTAGGAACAAGGTATTTAATTCTCAAAAACCACTGAGAGTAGAGTTTTTGCCTGTTCCCACCACAAAAGTCAGACAAGGTAATACATAGGCTAATTAGCTTGATTGTCCATAATATCTTCCATAATATTGTATTATTATATATATACAAATAGTTTTTAATTCATCTATGAGATAATATTTCTTTGAAAAGCAAGTTTGTACTTAGAGTTGAACCATCTGAATTCTGGCTTGATTTTTGATGTTATTCTAAGTAGAAATGAGAGTCTAAGAGAAGTCTTCTTTATCTCAAAAACATAGCATAAGCAAACATTGTTTGGAAGACTAAATGGAAAGTATTGCCCAGGTGTGGTTTTTAGGAGTTTCTGAGTTAATTATTCATACATATTCCAACTACACAGAAATGCACATGTTTAACTATTTCTGCTGCCTTTGAAATGAGCCAAGGCTTCATCTCTGTGTTCCTGTAACTTACCAAGGACTTGGGGAATTCTCATGGTACAAACTAAATGTGTTCATCAACCCCTTAGAGTTAGTGCTCCACCTCGACTGGAAGGAATTTACCTTTAGCTCTGGCTTCCACATCCTTTGTTCTCCACTGGAGTTGCAGGTAGGGGTGGAGGTAGGAAGAATGCAGGTCCTGGCTGGTCTATGAAACTTGACCCAGAGGAAATTTGGTTCTTAAGATCATCTTCTTAAGCTGCCTGACTTAAGCTAGTTGATGTTGCTGCTTCAAACTGGTGTGCCAAGCAAACAGGCAGGAGCCTGCCTGGCTCCCTCAAATATTTTATAATTGAAGTTAGGTATGTGTCCCAGCTTTCAACGTTACCAATTTCCTTAAATGCATACACACACACACACTCTCTCTCTCTCTCTCCCTCTCTCTCTCTCATACTCTCTCTCTCATTCTCTCTCTCTCTCTCTCTCTCTCTCTCTCTCTCTCCATGCAAATACTCTTTCAAACAAGTAAAAGAACGGTAGGGATGAGGTAGCATTTCCCACCAATCCCGTGCACAGCTCTGCTACAGAAACGTTCCATGATTGGGTAAAGCTTGAGTCACACCATTGTGGTCCCTCCTCACACAGCAATGCACTCATGGCCAGGAAAATCCCTAGTACAGAGAAGCCTATTTGGCTTGAGTTAACGGAACTGAACTGATTTGGGGATCCACTCTGAGGTACATTCTGATAGGCATATCACTGGATGATTTCATCATTGAGCTAGCATGGAAAGAGGGGAATATTATTATGTTTTCTTGGTAATGTCCAAATTGTAGTGTGTCTAATCCTTGAAAGATTAAAACAAGTGATATATGCTAATCCTAAAAATCTAAACTTAATAAATTACCTTTTTCTGTTGTAGACACGTTTTAATTCCAACATGCCATACATGAGAACATTTTTAGGTTGTGTCTCAGTTAAAACTAAATTAAGGCTGTCTCAAATGTAGAAAGTCTGCCAAATAAGTGCAAGGCCCTGAATTCAAAACCCCAGTTCAGCCAGAAGCAAATGCAAAGTAAACAACTCAGCTCCAACTAATGAACTAGCATTTATTCATTTAGTTATCAGAGTAGTCAACAAACATTTCTTGAGGCCCGTAATAAATGATATGAAGCAAGGTACTTGCGAAACAGAAAGCTACAAAGATTAGCTCTATTCTGTGAGTACTTACAGAGTAAAGGAAGAATCAACACCAAGCAAGTAATAATGGGGGGGGGGGGGGGGGGAGGGGGGAGAGAAGCAGGGGAGAAAGAGAGAG